ATGTAACAATTTTAAGTAGTACTTTATATGAAGAAAGCAAACATGGAAATTCATGAAAGTGAGAACAGAATCATGATGGAGACTATCTGGGTGAAGATAAAAGGAGAGAAACATAGAACAGATATTATTTTGGGGGGTATGTAATAACACACCAGACAGGCATGATAACAACAAACACAACACACTGCTGTGGAGTCGGATCCAACTCGGATCCATAGCGACCCTCCTTGGGTTTCTGAGGCAGTATCACTATGGAAGTAAATTGCCCAACCTTCCTTCCGAGGAGTAGCTGGTGGGTTTGAACCTCCACCCTTCTGGTTAGCAGTCAAATGCCTTAGGCACTATGTCACCAGAGCCCTCAGACAGGACAGTAATAAGTGATTTGATTTCCTGGGAAATTCTTTTGCTAAAATCAGAGGATATGAAAAATGTGTGTCTTACTTTGCTGATAAATGTAATCTCTCAATGAATTGAAGAACCAGTGAGGAATGAGATTTAGTGTCAGTTTAATTTGAACAAATATGGGAAGATGGCTTGGTCATTTAGAAATATCAGAAACTTTGGGAGAAAGCCAAGTGCTCATAAAATCCAGCCTCTCCATAATTCTGTCAGAGATGTTTTAGTGAGGAGTTTCTGGAAGGAAGGTTACACTAAATAATCTTCAAATCCCTTCTGGAACATTAAAGAATGGTTCCAATACTCTTTCGTCATACTGAAAGAACTGGAGAGGGGCTATGTAACAACTGAGTGGGAAGCGGCCAACAGTGGCACTATGGCTAGGTGAAAAGGAACAACATGTCAGGTACAGTGAAAATAGCACAAGATACTTCATTACAGTAAATATATTATCAAGCTATGAGAATTGAAACAATGTGGTGCTGGAATAAAAATTAATAGATTAGTAGTACAGGATAGGTAATTCAGGAATTAATTTAATTTCAAGGGGGACATGGGAAATTGGTGCTGGCGAAGAATGCTGAAAGTACCATGGACTGCTAAAAGAACTAACAGATCTGTCCTGGAGGAAGTGCAGCCAGAATGCTCCTTGGAAGCAAGTATGGCCAGACTTCGTCTCACATATTTTGGTCATGTTGTCAGAAGGGACCATTCCCTGGAGAAGGATGTCATGCTTGGTAGGGTGGAGGGTCGGCGAAAGAGGGGGAGGCCTTCAAGGAGATGGATTGATACGGTGGCTGCGATGATGGGCTCAAGTATAGCGGGGATTGTAGGGCTGGCGCGGGATCGGGCAGTGTTTCGTTCTGCTGTGCATGGGGTCGCTATGAGTCGGAAACGACTTGACGGCACTTAACAACAACAACAACAATACAACTTTTAGAGTGGAGAAAACCTTCCTGTATTTGGAACCATCAAAAAGAACTCATAAAGAAAATATTAAACATAAACATTTTTTTTAAAAAAATTGAAAATAAAGAACAAACCAACACTTAAGGCAAAAAACAGACTAGAAGAATATTTTTGAGAACTATGAATTCCAAAGATTAAAAGCATAATTAATGATGACCAATTATGAACTGATAAGAAAATCACCAAGAACTCTATTTGATAAATGGATATAGTATGAGAATAATCCATTTGCCAAAGAGGAAATGTGAGTAGAAAATGGTAAAAAAGGGAAAAATTATACAAGGCTAGTTATAAAAGAAAGTAATGTAAAATAAGATGCCATCTTTGCCTATCAAATTAGTAAATTTAAAACATATATGAATATTTTGAAAATTCTTAAATATTGACCTTGAATCTTTAAAATGTTCCTTTCTTTTGACCTACTAATTCTCCAACCAGGATTCTATCCAAAGGGAAATAACTCAAAATCCTGAAAAACTTTCTGCATAAAAATGTTTGTTGTAATATTATTTAGGAAAAGAGAGAAAGGAAGAAACAAGAGCTGATATTTAATGAATGCTTACTATGCGCAAGCACTATGCAAACTATTTAATGTAAGTTATGTTTAAATCCCACAAGAGCTCCACGGAATAATATTATCACCATTTTACAGAAAACGAACATGCTTGGGGAGATTAAAATCTCCAGAGACACTTGGCTAGTAAGTGTGAAAAAATAGAAAGCCTAAAGGTGGAGAGGAGAATGTTTAAGTAAACAAAGATTTATTTGAAAGATTTTAAAATTTTAATATAAAATTTTTAATGAAATGGAAAAATAATGTTGGATAAAATGTTCACATATATGTATAAACCAAAATTGTATATTCAATATGATTAAAAATATCTTAATAAAAAAAATTAGAAGGAAATATACACACACACAGAAAACAAAACTGAATCTAGTCCTGAAATAGTGTCAACAAATGCAGTCAGGTGGTGCTGAGAAAAAAACAACCACTTAACAAGTTGTTAAGGAGCTCTTGTGGCATAGTGCCTGAGGCATTTGACTGCTAACCAGAAGGTTGGCAGTTCAAACCCAGCAGCTGCTCTGTAGAAGGAAGATGGAATAATCTACTTCTGTAAAGATTTATTGCCTTGGAAACCCAGTAGGGGCTGCTGTGAGTCAGAATCGACTCGATGGCAATGAATTTGGTTTTTGGTTTAACAAGTTGTTGAGTCAACTCCAACTTATGGTGACCCCATGCATGTCAGAGCAGAGCTGCACTCCATAGGGCTTTCAATGGTTAATTTTTTTGGAGGTAGATAAGCAGGCCTTTCTTCTGAGGTGCCTCTGGGTGGACTTGAACTACCAACCTTCTGGTTAGCAGCTGAGTGTATTAACTGTTTACACCTCAGGAACTTAAGACTCCGAGAACAAAACAAAAGAATGGCTAAATAGGCAGGCTGGGGATGATTAAGGAAAGCCTAGCAAGTCCCTAAAAGGCTCAAAACCAGCTGAAGCAGTTTGGTTAACAGAGGAGATAGGGAATGTAATTCAGGGCAGATACGGTATATCTTCCATAACGAGTGGGGCTGTAACTCTTTTCATGGTAAGTTGCAGGAAAAATCATAAATTGGTCATGGTTAAAATGTCAGAAGACTCAAAATCATAGGGAAAAATAATGACCTGTTGAGGTTGTGGCTGACTCTGGGAGTCGCACAATGTTTTCTAAGAGAAGGCAGAGGTGGAGACAAGGAGTAAAGTAATTTCTGCTCCGTGAATATTTCCGTTAGGCAGTTAGGAAAATTTGGGTGGAAAAATGCAAATCTTTACTCTCAAGTTATTAAAGGAAGTATCTATCTAGATCTACTTTAGGCAAAAGGAGTCTGAATAAACATATGTTCCAACCATAGAAAATGTCATTTATGTACACATACATCCATTCTGAAGCAGACTCATCTCCAGTTGCATATATTTTAGAGAACTTCATAAATATCTTAAGTACGATGTTTTATAACTTTCTTTCAGTCTTACTTTTTCTCTGTCTCCCACTCTCCTCTCCTCCTCATGTTCTTTCCTCTTGTTTTACTGAAAAAAAGGAGCCATATGTGTGTGCGCACATATGTGCATATAAAAAACAAAAAAAAACCTCACTGCTGCTGAGTCAGTTCCAACTGATTAGCGACCCCTCCCTGGGTTTCCAAGGCAGTATATCTCTATGGAAGTAGATTGCCCAGTCTTCTTTCCAAGGAGTGGCTGGTGGGTTTGAACCACCAGCCTTCCGGTTAGCAATCAAATGCCTTAGGTACTATGACACCAGAACTCCTTGTGCATAAACACATACATATATATATATATACACATATGGACAGACACACAGATACATATATGCACATTACTACAATCAGTTTGTCATTTTTCATCTACAGCCACTATTGACTGGGGAAAAAACAAAACAAAACAAAAAAACCCCAGAAACCAAATGCTTGTTTAACTAGCACAGAGGACACAGGTCTGCAGGAGGTATGGAACTCAGTAACTCTCCAGAGGCAGTGGTTTCTCCTTAGTGCACCATGTACTCTCAGTTCACTTGATAGTCAGAAGTGGATTGTTCTTCTTTCATTCTAACAGTTAACAACTGACTGTCTGCATCTCCAAATATACTGCAAGTTCTGAGAGCTAAAGTCTAGGCCTATTCTGTTTACTGTTGGAGCCCCTACACCAAGACAGGGCCTCAATGACTATTTGCTGAGTGAATGAATAAATGAGTGAGTAAATACGCAAATACTATTTATCTCTCCAGACATAGTTCAATTCCCATCTCCCTGATAACATCTTCCCTCAGAGCTTCACTGATTAATCTCTCTGGAAATTACTATATTACTAGTCTGCACCATTACCTAACACCTGATTCTACACATTGATTTGATACCAACCGGTTTTTGTTGCTGTTTGTTTCATTTCAGGCATATATGCTACCCCAGGACAGTTACATGTGTATATATTTATTCTGTGTCTGAAAGCATATGTCACAGGACACATGGAAAATTCTCCATAAACATGCATTAAATTGAATTATAAAATACTTAACTCGTACTTTGTCATATTTCTAAACATTTTCCCTATCTCATACACTGAATTATGATTCCAGAGTATGGAAGAAAGAACATATGGCATTTAGTGTTAGTTGCACGGGGTTTCTAGCCCTGCCCCTTTGATGCTGGAAAAGTCACCCTGGCCTGTGGTCTGCTGTTTCTCTATTTGCAACATAAGGACAATAACAAGAGCAACAAAAACAACAAATATCTGCCTCAAAGGAAGGCTGTGGAATCAAATGGGATAATACACGTGATGGAGTTTTCCAAATTGGAAAGCATTAGTAGCCATTCTACTTAACCAATGTAAAAAAAACACAATTGCAGATAGACATTGTTGTGTACAGTAGTAACAGTAAGGGTGAACTTTTGTGAAAACAGCTACTAGGCAGAAGACCAAGGTGAGGAGGAAAAATATCCCAAGAATAACCTGCCAGACATGCCCCAGTCATAAATCAAAGACCACGCTCAACACTTGCTGTGTGGAGAGATCACTGGGCACCTGTCACCCACGCCCTTTGGCACTGCTGCCAGCATCTTCCAACCCAAGAGACAGCTTACCAGACACGAGTTGCTGTCCAGGCAACCCCACAGGAACCATGCCCAAGTTATTCATGGCTGTGGCCCAGGCTGTGGGATCTGTCACGGACATGTTGAGCTGGGTTGTGTCTATCGCTATACTCCCCAAACCATCGGCTGCTGTGGGAGAAACAATTATGACTTAGAGTCAACAGGCAAGGGTGTTCTGTTTTCAAGGAAATTACATTTCCAGAGATGTGAGGGTTCATTTAGCACATTCCTAAACCATGCAAATAAATAAATAAATAAAGCACTAAAATCTATAGCAGTGTTTTCTCCAGACATAAGCATAAAGAGTTTCTGACTACAATCTGGGAGACTTGATGACATGTAATTTATATTACACAGCAAGTCATTAAGGAGGCACCCTGGAAAAAAAAATGAACGAATCATTTCCTTCTTTCAGTGAAATGGCATCAGTTAAGTTACAAGGTTGAGAGGCAAAGCTGGGAGACTCTCTTGATAAAACAAGTCAACCGGCTTAGTAGACCAAAAGTAAACAAATTCTTCTCTGCCAAGTGTATTTCTGGAGCAAGCATGTCTTCGTAACCATCTAATAGACTCTCAAGGAAAAAAAAAAAAAAAAAGTTGTCCAGTGGTGACAGTGATCCTGACTGAATTGATTGTTAGCTGGTAACATATTCCTTCCTTTACAATTTTTTTTTTTTTTTTTTTACTTTATTACATTAAGAAAACACATGTATCTACGTAAAGTGAGTTTCACAAAATATTTCTTATAAGCACAGACTCCCATCAAAACAGCACAATAGGTCAAACTTGACTTCAAGCTCTCAGGTTTTCACCAGCTCCCTTTTCACTAGCCCAATTTTCATTAAGGGTCGTAGGTTCCAGGTTCAGGGCTAGGCAAGCTGTTCCATGGGGACCCAAAATGCTTTGTGGTTTCCTGTACTGGGCACTGATATTTACCTGCAGCCATCATCGGAGGAAGCTCCTGGGGATGCTGGGTGATGCTCTTGAGTCCACTTGCATCTACTATTGAAACATGAGCATCCTGGGGGGCAAGGGTGCTGGGATGGCTGAGGGCAGGGTCCTCGTGAGGATCATCAGATTCTGCAAAATGGGAAAGCAGTGTGATAAGAAAACATCATAGTGAACTGAGGGAGCCTGCAAGGGGTAAGCTATTCAAAACACACACGCACGAAAACAAAAAACAAATGACAACAATAAAGAACACTTTCCAGTGACGGACAGAGAAAGGAGGTTGCTTCCCAACTCTGCACTGTCCCGTGGCTCAGCTTTGGGAGCCTGTGAGATGAGTGGGTCAACTCACCTAGAGCCGGGGGGTTAGCTGAATAGACAGTGCTGTTTGCAAGTGTGCCAAATGCCTCGCCTCTGACTGAACAGGCTTCACCAATGTGGTCTTATCAGTCCCAGCACAGCCTCTTCCACATACTACACATCAATGGAGAGGGAAGACTCAGAACTAAATATGATTTTTTTAAAGTTAAAAATTAATTGATGTTGTTATTTTGGAATTTGGTTGTCTGTGAAATGCATTCAGAGAGGAGGATAAAAAAAAAACAAAAAAACATAGAGGGGAGGAAGATAAAAGCAAGAGCCCATTCACTGAGGCTGGTAAAGGAGTGTATTCAAATTACAATAGTCGGGAAAGGCAAAAAGGGAAGAATGACATGCTGTCCACAAAAGACCTGGAGGATGTGAGGGCAGCAAAGGAAAAGCATTTGTTTCTTGGCTCTATGGGGAGATAAATATTAATTGTTCACAATAAGGTTTGGTCTGAATTTCCACTAGAATTGCTCAGCATATCTATCTATCTATCTATCTATCTATCTATCTATCCACACACACACACATATAAACATATATATATATATATATATATAGTTATTTATTTTTATTAGAAAGTGCTTTTTAATTCAGCCCCTCAAAGGTACTTTTCTAATAAAAATAAACAACAAAGAAATTAAGTAAAGTTACCAAAGTCCCTCTATATCACACTCTTTATGAAATGCTATGATTTCTCTCTATCCTTGAAAATGCAGATACATATACCATTCATATGTACATATTTTAAATGAACTTTCAACAGTTCAAAATTGGAAGGCAATACCTATTGCGTAATGGGTGATCTGACAGGTTTAATTTTTAAGCAGAGTCAATATAAAAACTGAGAAGGGAATACTTATTTTTTGTGTAGGTCTAAATTTAGAAATTGTTCTAAACCATATTTCTGTTCAGTGGTCATGGGTATTTTAGAAGTAGACACCATCTGTTTGTCAGCATATCTAATGTAAAGGCTTCTATGATATGTTACTTTATCTACTTTTTGATTCTTAGGTGGCAAGAATCAATCAATCTTTGAGTCCTGTATTGTTAAAATGGACACAGTGGCAATTGAGTAGATGTTCAACTCAAAGGGAAGTTGGAGCTTTAATATGTACAGGCGAACAACTAGCCAGTTGTTTCCATGGTCTCGATCCCTAGTCCTCAGGTGGAGTGGCATGTGAGATGGGGGCTCCACTATCCATTAGGCTGCCAATAAGACAAAGCTTGTTCACCTTTTAGCAGTGAATGATTTCAACTTTGGGAGCAAATTATACTTAGAAAAAACATTTTCTAACTTCCAATTAAGAATTCAGAACTTGCTTATATATTGTGCATCAATTATCTTCTCCAATGGATGCCAGTATGTCTGAGGTGCCACCATAAAAAATGAGTTCAATAACACAGGAAGTATGTAGCTAAGTTAACTGCCCTTTGGCTTATCCAGTATAATTTCTGCAATGAAACCTCAAAACATTTTCCTGTCTCCATCACCCAGCCAGCTCAGAGCACTGAGGCAAGGAGTCAGACTATGATTTGTTCATTCTTTTGCTCAAATGGCCCTGGAGTGGGAGCTTTTCAGATCACTGCAAGCTCGCTATTTGTCTTACTTATCTCCCAAAATGAAGTGTAGTTGGCTGGCCTCCTTCTAGCTCAGGTTCTCCCCAAATGGACATTAATCACAACTTTTTTCTGTCCAATGAGTCTGCAATTCTGGAACACTATCAGAGAACATCCCTTTACTTGTAGGCTTTATGACTTGAGCCTGACCAGTTGTGATTACATTTCACCTTCGTTTGCTACAGTATTTTAGGGATGGGTTAGCTTTCCTTGGCTCTGTAGATGTCTGTTCACATGGTAGTTTTTACCTTAGTGACTAGAGCCTTTAAAAGGGACATCATTTTAAAGTGCTACTGAGTTTAAGGCACTTGACTGGTAACCAGAAGCTGGCGGCTCAAACCCACCAGCCACTCCTTGCAAGGAAGACTGGGCAATCTACTTCCATAGTGATACTGCCTCGGAAACCCAAGGAGGGGTGGCTATGAGTCGGATCCAACTCAACGGCAATGAATTTAGCTTACGCTGATGCCTTGAAAAAGTTACATGGGCAAGACATGGTCTGTGTGATGGTTAATTTTACGTGTCAACTTGGCTAGGCTACAGTGCCCAGTTCTTTGGTTAAACTCTAGTTCAAATGTTTTTGTGGAGGTATTTTGTAGGTGTGATTAAAATTTATAATCAGCTGACCTTAAGTAAGGAAACTACTCTCCATAATGTAGTAATAATTTAATTTTTATCTAATCAGTTGAAGACTTTAAGAACAAAAACTGAAATTTCCTAGGGAAGAAGAAATTCTGCCTCAGAATAACATGTAACATAAATATTCTACCTCAGTTTCCAGTCTGCTAGTGTGTCCTACAATTTTCATAATAGTCAGTTCTCACAATTGTGGGAGCCAATTCCTTAAAATCAAGCAATCTTTGCTTCTCCATACACACACACACACACACACACGTATGTACATACACATACACGTTGTTGTTGTTGTTGTTATGTGCCGTTGAGTCGGCCCTGACTCATAGCGACCCCTCCTTGGGTTTCCGAGGCAGTATCACTATGGAAGTAGATTGCCCAACCTTCCTTCCAGGGAGTGGCTGGTGGGTTTGAACCACCAGCCTTCTGGTTAGCAGTCAAGTGCCTTAGCCACTATGCTACCAGAGCTCCCATACACATACATATATGCATGTGTACACATGGGTGCACAATATCTCTACACACATGTATGTAATACACATATGTATATACATGTGTGTATATACATATATGCATGTATGTATAGACACACAGATATACCTCATTTTACTGTGTTTCACTTTTTTGCAATCTGCAGATATTGCATTTCTTACAAAATGAAGGTTTGTGAAACCCCTGTTTCAAGCAAAGTGTTACCATTTTTCTAACAGCATTTGCTCAATTCATGTCTCTGCATCATATATTGGTTATTCTGATAATGTTTAAAACATTTTCAAAATACTATTTCACACTTAATACACTATAAACTCACTGTCATTGAGTTGATCCGACTCACAGCAACCCCTCCTTCGGTTTCCAAGGTGGTACCACTACAGAAGTAGATTGCCCAACCTTCCTTCAACAGAGTGGCTGATGGATTTGAACCACCAGCCCTGTAGTTAGCAGTCAAACGCCTTAGGCATTATGCCACCAGAGCTCCCTAATACACTACAGTATAATGTAAACATACTTTTATATGCATTAAGAAACCAAAAAATTCCTGTGACTCATTTTACTGCAATATTCACCTTATTGCATTGGTCTTGGGCCAAACCTTCAATGTCTCCACGGTATACCGTGCATGCGCGTGTGTGTGTGTGTGTGTGTATGTGGCTGTCAAATTGATTCCAACTATAGGACAGAGTAGAACTGCCCCAGTGTTTCCTATGCGATAATCTTTATGGCAACAGATCGCCAAGTCTTTTCTCCCATGAAACTGCTGGTGGGTTTCAATCACTGACCTTTCAGTTGGCAGTCGAGCACTTTAACCACTGGGCCACCAGGGATCCTTACATATATATTATGTGTGTGTGTATATGTGTGTGTATGTATATATATGTATATGCACATGCACATATATACACACACACACACACACGTGTGTGTGTGTGTGTGTGTGTATGGGAGCTCTGGTAGCATAGTGGATAAGGCACTTGACTGCTAACCAGAAGGCTGGCGGTTCAAACCCACCAGCCACTCCTCGGAAGGAAGATGGGGCAATCTACTTCCGTAGTGATACTGCCTCGGAAACGCAAGGAGGGGTCACTATGAGTCAGGTGTGACTCAACGGTACACAACAACAACATATGTATATATCAAAAACCTACTACCACTTAATTGATTCTGAATCATAGTGACCCTATAGGGCAGAGTAGAACTGTCCCATAGGGTTTCCAAGACCATAACTTTTACAGAAATAAACTGCCACCATCTTTCTCCTGCTATGCAGCTGGCAAGTTTGAACTGCTGACATTTCAGTTAGCAGCCCAACATTTAACCACTCCACCACCAGTGCCACCCACTGCTATTGAGTCAATTCTGACTCATAGCAACCCCCACTGGGTTTCCAAGGTGGTAAATCTTTATGGAAGTAGATTCCCAGTCTTCCTTCCACAGAGTGGCTGGTGGGTCAATCAAATGGTTTAGGCACTGTGCCACCAGAGCTCCTTACTCCATCACCAGGCCTCCCATATATGTGGATATATGTGTATACCCAAACCCACTGCCATTGAGTTGATTCTGATTCATAGCAAACCCCACGGAGTTTCCAAGGCCATAAACCTTTATGGAAACAGACTGTCTTATCTTTCTCCCATGGAATGGCTGGTGGGTTCAAACTGCCAACCTTTTGGTTAGCAGCTCAATGCCTTAACCACTATACCAGCAGATCTTCTTTTATACATGTATATATACATATACATGTATACATGTGTATATATGTACATGAGTATATATATTATATACACACATGCATATGTACGTGTTTGTATATGTGTGTATTGATACATGTACATATATACATCTGTGTATATATATATGCATGCATGTATATATATTATGTTTATGTATAATGTATATTATGCATACATATGTGTATATATGTATATTATGCATGTGTGTGCATACACACACACATACCTTGTTTTTAGATGCTGTCAAGTCAGCTCCAACTCACAGGGATCCTATTT